CTTGTAGTTCCTGAACACCTTCGTGAACGAATGGAAGAACTTGAAGAAGTATGTGAAAAGCTTGAGAAAATCCCGACAAACCTGGCGAAGTACGAGCCAGTGGCAAGAGACCTTGCGTTGGGATCTGTTCCTCTGCTTGTGATCGAGGTGTTTTGTTCAACGGACAGTGCGTTGTGCCGAGCGTGTGCTCGTGACCGAGTAGCATATATAGGCATAACTGAGAAAGAAGACTTCTTAAACAAGAGTACTCAAATGTTTCTAGGAGAGGTCTTGCTGTGTCTGTTGAGTAGGAAACCGCCCCAGATCTATGTCCACATAGCTTCCCCGTGTACCGCTGGATGTAGCTACCGCTTTAAGAACTGGCATCGACCGAAGTTTCGACATCGGTGGCGAGAGCAGGTCAAGAAGCATGTTGCATCTTGGAAAGCTTTAGGACGACTTCTGGAGGACCGCTGCAAAGAGATCCTGGTTACCCAGGAATGGCCAAAGAACTGTGGTCTTTGGAAGGAGGAAAGTTATCTGAAAGAAAAGAAGCGCCTTGGTCTGAACTTTGGAAGAGTTGTGGACCGCTGTGCCTTCGACGGGGTCTTTAAGCGGTGGTTCTTTGCTACAAACCGAGAGGAGTGGAGTGAAATCTTCTCTGGAAAGCCCTGTAACAAAAGTCATCAGCATGTTTCACTTGCTAGTATCGAAGAAACAGGTATCTATCCGACTAAACTGGGTAGAGCTCTTTTGCGTGCTGCGAAAGTCACGTTAGGTCTTGTAGGAACACCTTCTTAGGTCGGCAGTAGGAGTGCTCGCTTTCGGACTTTGCCTGGGATGAGATGTTTAAGCACTGGAAACACCGAGCTGTGAAGAAGTGCGTGGCTCTGAGGCATCACAGTCCAAGCGGGGGTGTGAAAGTTCCTGTCTAAGGACATGTTAACTTTGTTGTCCTGCATGCTGGCTCAGAGTTGTGTGTGTGTAGTTGTAGGAACTCCGTAGTTGTGCCTTGGAGGCTCGACGGGAGTGCTGCTTTAAGTGGGAAAGCCTTTTGAATTGCTTGAGTTGTAGGGATGTGTGTCTGGAAGCTGTAGAAGTGACTGTGCACGTTTTTGCTTGCTTTAGGTGTAGTTGGGTAGGTCCCGAGAACTCCCACTGACGTTTGAGTTTGTTTTGTGGCTGTGGAGAACACGTGGCAGAGCAGAGTTTTCACCTGTGTGTAAAGAGTTTCACTGACGAAGCCTCCGGCTTATGACTTTGGCTCAAGTCGTGAGAAAAATAGGGTTCAGCGCGCTGCTGCTGTGTTTTCACAGTCGTAGACCTTCAGACTCATAGGTTCTGTATGCACGAAGCTGCTGGCAATATGTCGTGAGATGATTCGAGTCACGCAGGCTCATGTGGGGTCTAGGCTTGACATTCTTCCCAAAGTGATGTCCTGTTTGAGCGCACGCCACATGAGCCCACAGACCGATGTTGTGTTGCCCTGCATTGGGGGCGTATTGGCTGAGATGCTGGGATCGCGAGTGGTGCTGGGTTTGCCGGCTCTTGGAACCTTCGTGATCCTGTGCGAGGGGCCGACTTTTCTTGCGGACATGGGTAATGGGCACCTGCCGAGCCGCGCTGCCAAGCCAGGAGGAGGCACAGGGAGATCTGCGATGGGCTTTGCTGGTCCAGGTGGGTCCTTCCAGGGCTGCGCCAAGGGGACCGATGCATCGACCCCTGGCTCGCTTCGGAGATGCAGTACGTGGTGGCCGGGTTCTAGGCTAGGAGGACGACGTACTCCCGATCATGGGTCCCCAATGCTGCCGCTACGGCGGGAGGGGCCGATGGAGTACCGTCTCTTTCCAACGCCAGATCGCCTCCATCGGCAGGAGTCGTCGCACTAGTTTCCACAGAGGAATCCAGGGTCTTACAGTACTAAAGGGGGTAACTACTGGTTGGAGTCTTCTCACCCAACTTGCGTTGCAGAGAGCCAGAAGGAAGGCACGGCCCGACTGGAGGGTGAAGCAGCCCGGCTTGGGGAACTCTTCCCTTATGCGAGTCCTCTTACAGCCGGCTGTGGAGTTTCTCCAGCTTTGGAAGACCAGGTAAGAAGCTCGAGCAACCTGGCAAGTGTAGAGCGAACTTGGGCCCATAGAGCCAATTGTGGTTCCAGCCTCCAGCCAAAGCAGGACTTTCCACCAAGCACTCTGCTTTCGCTGGCATCACAAGGGCCGGAAAGAGTGGCTGCTCCTTTCCGAGGACAGCAGCGTGTATTTTGTTCGCACCAGCAAATCCGGCAAAACAGTCCGAGCCCGACCTTGTGGGCAATGGAGATGCATGGAAGACCCAGCAGAGCTCCACGGGGGAACGGGAGGCGACCCGCCCGTGCAGTGGCTTCGCCTTTTGAACTTCAATTGCACTGGCTGTGGTGGTAGCAAAAGTCATGGGTCCTTGCTGGGCTTTTCCTAAGCTTGACACAAGCTTGAAAATAGGTTTAAAAATCAGGAACGGACACACCAACTCATTTTCAAGTGATTTGAAGCGAAAAAACATCGGGGAAGAAAAACAGCTAGCAGCAAAACGTCGAGAAGGCCTGAAGCAACGGCTGCTGCGAAAACTTCGAAACGTTTGAGATCCGAGCGTGTCATATTGCCAAAGAAAGGACCTGCAGCCTCTGCCATCTGGCAGTCATGGGTCGCAAGTCATGCCAGAGAGCCTTTTGGAAGCGTTGGGAGGCACTCGAGAGCAGAAGTATTTCACTTTCTGTTGTTCTGAGCGCTTATGAGCCTTGTCACCTCCTTTGACTTGGGTGTTGTTGCGGTTTGGACTCGCTCGGCGTTGAATAATTTTTCATTGGGCACGAACTGCAACGCGCGTGTGACGTGTTCACAAGTCAACAGCAAGAAGTCAGGCTTGTTTCAGCTCGGGGTGCGACGGGCTCTTGATTTCCAGTGACGGGACAAAGATCGCCGCTGCAGGCCGCCTGAGCCTTCGACATGTGCCCGAACATGACAAGTGAAAGCAGTTGGAGCTTCGTGGGTGAGAGAGATTGAATCATGCGGGGGTTAAATTAGCTGTGTCGCAAATCCTGTGTTTTTTTAGATTGAATTGGCTTTGATCCTGAACACCGCTGACAAGATTAAACCTTTGCACACAGCGCACGCAAAGCCATCCTCACACTTTCGACCAAAGCTTGGCACGGTCTGCTCCTGTTGCGGCCAGCATTGGTCTTGAAAGTTGAGCTGCCAATTCATCGTAGCTGGTTTTCAAACAGGTCTAGGATGAAGAAGCAACGCCATCCAAGTATCGTTCTTCGAATACCTGGAGAAGATAGAGCTTTATTGTTCAAAGGAAACAACATTTAAAATGTTGCAGTGAACAAAACATCTGCTTGTTGTTTTAGTGCTTGCCTTTTTGCACAACTTATTTTCACTGCTCGATCAGTTTCATGCTTGTTCGTGCAGGGTTTGTACTTACTGTATACACCCGTCGCAGCGGGACCTCTCGAGGGGCAGGATGCCCGGAAAGTGCTCTTAGAGGCTGATAGATCAATTTTGAAAAAAGGCCCTAGCTTGAGCCATGGCAGATGGTGCAGCTTCGGAGCCCCAGACACCGTCCTCTAGTGGGACTGGCACAGTCAGTTTGGTGCATCGGCATGTGGTTGATGTGCATGCTATGTGTGAGAGGCATCAGGCTGAACTTGGTGAACTCAGTCAAGCCCTCGAAGATCTTTCCAATCGCTTGCGTGTGTTGGAAGCACGTGTTCAACAGAGTGATGCACGCCTGTCTTGGCTGGAGTCGTTCGTGAGACGTTTTCGATCAGCTTTCCGTGATCTTTTTCCATGAGCTGGAGACGGTGTGAGCCCGGCCCTGAGAGCTGCTCATTTCTTCTGCAGTGGTTATGTGGAGCAGGGACATGTGTTTTGAACCATGTGTTTTTCTTTGAGGCTCGAAGTGCTTCAGGGGGTTGGTACTTATGACTGCCCTCAGGGATTCGCTAGCTCGTCACATTGACGAGAATCATCCCATGGAAGATTCCACTGTGGAGACTCATGCAGACCGTCCTTTCAGCTTCTGTGAATATGATAGAGTCGCTTTATGGGAGATTGATACGAAAATTATGGAACATCATTCTCGTCTTCGCCGATGTTTACAACACATTGCATCTTTGGAAGGTGACATTCGCAAGGCTCGCGAGTCGCTTTTGACTTCTCAGAGTCAGCAGCAGACATCAATGTCAGTTCTGTGCTGTGATGTCGAACAACTCTTTCAGGCGATCCACGCTTTGCGACACATGGCTGAACTGCAATTTGATTTACTTAGGCACCTTCAGGAGTCGTTTAGACTTCATGCAGATGTGATGGTGTGGTCCTTGACGATTGCGGGGATCACGATGTACAACAACCGTGAGCCCATGCCTCCACCTCAGTTCCCATCGTTAGCGGTTCGCATGAGGCATTTCAGGCATGGCCGGAGGCCTGGCCCATACTCGCCATGACTGGTGAAATTGTGACAGACGTGACTGTCTATAGACGAAATCTTGTCAGAGAAGGCAAGAGAAAACAGTGCACCGGCTTGAGTTCATAGGATCTTACACCCCCCCCCCCCTACTCCCCCCCCCCCCCCCCAAATAAGAAACTCAAAATAGTCGCAAAATAAGCTCTATATGATGGGCTGTTGGTAAGCCACGCAAACAGGTCAGTACAGCCAAATGCTATGTCGTATTCCCCTGCGTAAAGTCGGGGTGTGAGAGCGAATAAAAGCCAAAGGTTAGAATATTGAGGAGTTGTTGGGAGGCAATCAATCCAAAAAAGGATCCATCCTTGCGAGTAAGAAATATCAATGGAAGTGCAAACTGCCGCTACAGCGCACAATCTCACTTGATTTTTTTGCTTGGCGCCAGCATGCAGTGTCAGCACCGCTCTGCATACTCTCGCAGGGTTGCGTCGGAATGCCTGGGCCAGTGACTACAGGAATTTGCCAAATAAAATACAGGATTCGGGCAAAGATGAAAAGCGGTTGGTATTCCGAAATTCTCAGCTAGGGGACATTGGCCTCTGGTCGTCCGGGTGCAACCTATTCCATCGGTCGTAGGCGAACTTAATGACTGTTTTCAGCGCGTGGAATTTCGTTGGATTTTGGGCTGTGCCATATTTGCGCTGGCAGCTCTGATATGGGTTGACCCTGTCTTGGCCAGCACCTTGTGTCGTTGCAGAACTGAATCACGACAAGGTGTTTGGGAAAAAGGGAAAAACGAAAGGATTACATCATTGGAATGCGACAAAATTGACACGGCACTGACAGGGTAGTTCACCTTGAAGAATTCATTGACGGGGTGGTACTGCGCGTGGAAGGTTCCAGTTATGGCTCCTCCGCCTGGAAGGAGCTCCTTCAAGAAAGCAGGCGTGAGCCCCCAGAGTCTGTCCATCTCTGCTGCGCGCGCAGCTCTTTCAAGAGCCTCATGCTCTTGATGAGCTTTTTCCTTCGTCTCGCGGTCTCTTGCAGCCTTCTCGGTGGCCGCCTGATCTTTTTCTGCTTTGCTGCGTTGCTGAGCTGCACGCTCACCTTGAGCGCGACCTTTTTGCTGGAGGATGTCCTCCAAATTCTCTGCAGCTGCCTTGATTTGATCTTTGAAGCACTCTTTGTTTTCGGGATCCAAATGAGCAACGTGCTCAAGCAGCTCCACATCCGTACTCTGCGTCTTTCTTTGCCGACACAGCCTCTCAATAATTTGTTGCTTCTCCTCCTCCGAAGAATCTGCAAAGTAGTGTTCCACCAATGCCTTGACGTAGTCCCTCTTCACAGGTCGCTTTCCCTTCCCAGTGCCCACGATTCGGAGTTTGAACTCTCGGCAAATCAACTTCAGGTCATCCACCTTTATCGTGATGCCATCTTTCAAAGCACCCTTGACGAGATCCATGTGCTCTGTGACTAACAGTCCAGCGCCACTGGAGGCAAGCTCGATTGGCACACAGGCCGGCGGTAGAAGTTTCACACTGACACGCTTCCATTGGCTGTTGACTAGGTCGCCATTGAAAAGGAAGTCCGGCTGTCGCGTCGAAGACGGGTCCAGGAGCAAGTACACCTGTCAGGACTACACAACACTACTCGGAAGCAGCAAATAAAAGCAGCAGCGCTCATTCAACATATTTCAACGTCACGCTGCCTGCCCTCGCAGGATCGAACATTTAAGCCGGCATGCCATTGCTGCGAACTGCCGCACACCGAGTGAGAGCATGTACTGATCAGCCACGCTCTGCCAGAACACGCCGCCCTGCGTGAAGAAGATGCCTCCGGCAGTAGATTCATGCATGTGACGCAACAAACGAATGAAGCGCACTCGGTTGCATATTCACAAAAAAAAACAATGCCCACAATGATTGCAGCTTCACAGTCAGTCCTCTCCACATGAGCCCGACCTTCTGGAAGTTTGTCGGTTCGCCATGCATCAGGTAGGCCATGGCTGCTACACTTTTCTGGTGCGACAGTGGCCCAGAAGTTCGCCACTTCCTCTTAGAAACTTCATGCGTGTTCTGCGGCAAACCTCGGGCGTCAGCGTCATCAGCCGGATGTGATTCAGGGACACGAGTGTTCTTGGCATTCATGCATCTTGCAAACTGGATTGCCAGCTCTGGTTGCAGATTTGGATGGAAGCGGTTCCAGTCCTCCTTTGTGGCCCGAATGTGCGGCACGCCCCCAGTTGTGGCATACTTAGAGCTCTGCGCGTACATCCAAACCGCATGTTGTGACAGTTTCTGGTTCTTGCTGCATCGCCGAGAGACATCTTGCAGAAAGCCGAAAGTGGATTCCAGCACATCCTTCGTTGTCGCGCTTCCAGCATACAGCTCCACCGCAACCCTCCGCGTCTCTTCAGAGTGCGGATCAAAGTGTGTCTGCCGCAAAGACATGACGACCTCTGCCGCCAATGGTTGCCGGTGCCACGCAAGTGCGTCCAGCACTTTCTGTAAATCCGTATTTCCATCATGCTCTGGCCGCTTGGCAGCTAGAAGTGCATCAACCATCTTCTTCAGCAAAGCCATTGCATCCTCACGAACCTTTCGGTTTCGGCTGGCAAGCGGCGCAATCGCATGAGGCAAGGAGTATCGGAACATGACCTGTGACCAAGCCACATTGCTTGCCAGCGCAACAGAAAAATCGTAGACTGTCTGAAGCATCTGCCCCTCCGCTGCTAGCCACTCGTGGTCCTCTTCTTCGGCAGCCTCTTCCCCAAGTCGTTGCGTGAGTCCCATTCGGAGCAACAAGCTGCTGCTGTGGATCTTCTCCAGGATTTCCCCACAGGTGCTCCACCAAGAACCCTCCCCCGCCTGCGCACGTTGAATTGCAAACGCCAGCTGGTTGTCCTTCTGCATTTTCAAGCCCGACTGATACATGGCAACCAGAGGCTGCGACACCTCCGTGATGCAGATTGCATCGATCTGCAATCTGCGGTCGCTGATCAGGTCGAAGTACATACGCACAGGGCCTGCGGCAGTTTTAACTTAACACGACGGACGCGTTACACTGTGCTTGCTGGGACATGTTGGGACTCTTTGTCTGCGCCTCGTCCGGAGTAGGCTTTGTACAGCTCGCTGCGTGTGATCTTCTCCCGTCCGGGTTGCTCTTCTGCCTCATCATCTTGTTCTTGTTCTTCTGCTTCTTCTGGCGGCTGCTCGGCATCTTCAAGATCCTCCTCACCGGCTTCATCATTGTCAACATGCCGGTCCTGGCGTCAGTGATGTGCGCAGCCGCCACGCAGCAAACGCAGGAAAACAGGCACCCCACCCCTTGGACACGTTCTTGCACAACTTCGAACCCCGAACCCGACGCCCCAAAGTCTAGAGCACACAGTATAATCCAGAACTTACAGCCCGAAACCCTACAAACCGCACACCATACACCCTTTAAGGCCCCATCCTACGAGCCTAACAATTGGGTCAGGGCAAGGAATCCTCCTGCTCCAACATGGCTGCGCCGGCCACCTCGCAGATCGTCCACTCCTTGATGAGCTGCCTGAAGGCCGCCGTCATCCCAAACCACATCTTGTTCTTTACCTGGGATGGGGTTTCGTCGGGAGGGAATTCAAATTTACAAGAGTGAAGCTGTTGGCGTTGGGATTGGGGACCTAGGGATTGCATGGCTCGCTGTCTGCGTGACAAGTCAGTCTGGCACTTTGCATTCTTGCATTCTTTTTCCACACGCAAGAGGCTGGCTTCAATCACGGGAGCACGGGGCCCAACGGCGGGACTCTGCGCGAAGGTCGGAGAGGAGTCGGCGGCGGGTTCATCGGCAGTCCGGTAGCCGGGGTCGTAATTGGCGTGGGAGGTGGTGGGCCGCCCGCCTGCATTGGCGGTCTGCCCCCTGTGCCCGCAAGTGGCCCTGGCAGCATTCCAGCCGGCACTCCATACACAACGCCAATTGGGCCCCAGTTGGCAGGCCCGGGAGGCGGGGGTGGTCCAAATGGCGGCTGAGTATTGCCAATAAATGGCGGGTTGGCAGCCGGCATTGGTGGTGGCACACAGCCGATCGCGGGCGTCCGCTCACTCGAGCTGCTGGACTCACTGGAACTCATGCTTTCCTGCTTGTCTGTGGCAGGCCTCTTCAGTGCTGCGCTGCCCGGCTTCTTGAGCACTGCGGAAGGCTTCTTCAGGGACTGCTTTTTCACCGCTGCGGCTGGTTTCTTCTTGACTGCAGCAGGCTTCTTCGACGACTTCTGCTGCTGCGCTGCCACCGCCTTGGTGTGCTGAAGCGCCGCAGGCTTCTTCCGCATGGCGTATGAATCTAGCGACCAGGCCTCTACAGATGCATGGGGTAACCTGAGAGCCGCAGTGTGCGACAAAATAACCCATGCAAAGCGCTTGCCGCGTGTGTGCGTCACTTTGACGAGGAAGACTGCCAGCAACTGCCCGGGCAAAGGCCAAGGCGCGAGGGTGCCGTTTTTGTTTTTGACTCGGAAGTATGAGTCTTGCTTTCGATGCTGAAATGAGACCACTAGAGTCTAGAGAGGGTCTGAGATGTTCGGCTCAGAGCTTAAAAAAATATCCCCTAAACCCTAAACCTTACAACCCTAAACCCTACACCCTGAACCCGAAACCCTAACACTAAACCCTAAACCCTAAGCCCTAAGCCCCAAAACCCTGCACACCCTAAAACCCCTAAATACCCTAAAGTCCTTGACCCTTAACCCTTAATCCCTAAACCCTCAGCAGCTATGACAAACCTCCTCACGCAGCGGGGTCGGAATTCTTGGCCGTGCTGTCCTGGGAGCGCATGCAAAAAAATGATCAGACGGCGTACATTGGCTGCTGCACATCAACTGTTCCAGAACACAGCTAATTTCAGACGCAGTCGCAGATTGCAGCGGCGAGGAACGCTGCTTGCGAGCCTTCTTGCATGGGCGTGGAGGGGTCGCCGGCGGCCCGCGCTTGATCTTGGATTCCGGGGTTACCTGAGGGGTCTCCTGCGTTTGAACTCTGCAAGCTGCAACTGTGTGTAAGAAAATACGTAGCCACCTACAAATTCACCAGCAGTTCCTGTCCTGTCGCTTCTTGCTCTTTGCAGGCAACGTCTTCTCCGGCGTCTGCAACTGAAGCTTCTTGAGGGCAGAGGACAAGCCAGGGGAAGCCTCAAGACACCCAAATCGTGACACCCCCTAAATGCAGCGTGCAAACACGCAATTGTGACCGTGACACGGACGCTCTGTATACCTAGTTAGTTCCCAAAAATGACGCCTGGCTGGACTGCGGTGATGCGGTTGCAGGGCTGATCCCCGGAGCGCGTCTCTTGTTGGTCTTCTTGTCGGGCGTGACACAGGCCATGGCTTGTGTGTTGACGGAACAGGCCCCAACAGCAAACTTGAGCTGGAGGTAACAGGAGCACTCATGCGGCAGCAAATGAATCAACAACAATCGAGGCGCTTCAGGAAGTCGGAGGAAACAACCCTAAAACCTCATTGGGTCACGTTTAAGGGTTTGGGGCTACGTTGCTTGTGAACACACTGGCTCGGGCGCAAACACTCTGTCAGTAGACCTCATAAGAATTGAATTCTGTCGAGATGCGAAGAGGCCACGGCGGGTAAGAGACGGAGAATTCATCCAGTCCTCGAAAGTCGGCACAGCGCGCTCATCGGGGTCAAGATGGTAGTTGCGATCAAAGGCCAGCAGCTCTGCTTTTTCCTCGAAGAACGCCTCGTCCTGCCGCATCAGGTAGTGTTCCGTCACTTCCCCTTGGCTTTCTTCTGGCTGGCTCTTAGGACTGTTCGGGATTTTTTTCAAACACAAAAAGGAGGCTAAAAGTTAAACTTTTGGGGGGGTTCAAAAGTCAGCCAGGTCTCGCCTTGTGAAGAATCTATCCCCGTTTTGAAAAGATCCATGAGGGTGATTGCAAAGGATCGTCAATTTCAAGATAGACGAGTCCAAACCGGTCTGTTTGGCTGCCCTCTTGTAGCTGTTCCACCAGGGGTGGGCCATCTCGGGTTCCATCATGCCCCGGATGGCCCCCACCTCTAGCAGAAAGTTCCACGCCTTACCCTGAACCCCCTCCTCATCCTCCACCTCAACTGCTCGCAATCTTTTGGGTTGTCAGAACTGCAAGCTTAAACGAGGGTGGCGGGTAAAATTATGGCAGCTGACTGCGTCGAGGCTCAGCCCGGATCATCTTGCGCTCGAGCGCCGGCTGAAGGGTTACAGTGGCGGGGTCTGCCAGCAGGTCCGGAGGGTTGTGCACGACAAAGCTGTCCAAACCTTGGCCAGTCATCATCACCAGATTGTGGTGGATCGTCTGGACGACAGCCTTGGAATTATGGTCACAACAAACAGGAGGAAGGACAACAATGAGAACGCAGTCGATGCAACCTCACATCTCAGGCAACAACGAAGAAGGCGTTGCAGTCTTTGCTCGTGAGCTTGGGCCTGCGGCCGTTTTTTTTTGCAGCTTCAGAGTTACTTCTCTTGCAGACAGCCACGATGCCTCCAGCGGCTGGACCCGTTCAAAGTTTCGGTGATGATTTTCGGCACGACCTCACGACGCGCCGGGGAGGAGGCGGGGGGGGGGGGGGGAGGAGAAACTGAAAGCAATGCTGCTGAGCGTTTGCCCTTTTTTCCGTTCAGTACCCACGCCAACACAGCAGTGCGACGGAGGAAGCTACCTGGGGCAAATTAGAAGCCACATGATTTCTGTATTGCAGCAAGACTGATGTGACACAGCTCTCGACAAGAATGGCCCCTGGAAAGTCGCACCGTGCGATGTTGAGTGTTGCAGGACACCAATGGGCAGGCTCGCAGGGCGGCTTGGAGCTTTTTGAAGCTGTTTTGGGTTTGTTTTGGAGGTTTTGGGGCTTGTTTTGAAGCTATTTTGAAGCTATTTTGGGGTTGTTTTTGGGGCCCGGGCTTATTTTGATGCTATTTTGAAGCTATTTTTAGGGCCCGGGGCTTATTTTGAAGCTATTTTGAAGCTATTTTGGTGTTATTTTTGGGGCCCGGGGCTTATTTTGAAGCTATTTTGGGGCTATTTTGAAGCTATTTTGGGGCTATTTTGAAGCTGTTTAGAAGCTATTTTGTGGTTTTTTTTGGCTTTGAAGCCATTTTGAAGCTATTTTTAGGGCCCGGGGCTTATTTTGAAGCTATTTTGAAGCTATTTTGGTGTTATTTTTGGGGCCCGGGGCTTATTTTGAAGCTATTTTGGGGCTATTTTGAAGCTATTTTGGGGCTATTTTGAAGCTGTTTAGAAGCTATTTTGTGGTTTTTTTGGCTTTGAAGCCATTTTGAAGCTATTTTTAGGGCCCGGGGCTTATTTTGAAGCTATTTTGGAGCTATTTTGAAGCTATTTATGGGGGTATTTTTGGGGCCTGGGGCTATTTTAAGCTAATTGGGGGCTATTTCTGGGGCCTGGGGGCTTGTTTTCAAGCTATGTTGAGGCTATTGGGGGGGGGGGGGCTGCTTTGGCGGCCTGAGAATTTTGGGGCTGTTTGCCGGGTTTGCTTTGCCCAATGGCGTCAGCCATCAAAATTAGTGCGGAGCGCGCGCAGCTCTCACACGAACACCCATTCAGAGTGCTGATTCCTTGCCCGCGACACCATCAATCGACTCCTCATCGGATGGAATTGGCACTTCTGGTGGAGGGGCCGGCACGTCTTCGGGCCCCTTGTACTCCTGGTCGTCGTCCTTGTCCTTGATCGGGGCCAACGCCGTTGAGGTCCTGGGACCAGTATGCGAGGGCGGCTGTTTAGACTTTGGACATTGTTTCATAGGGCACATGCATGATGCGGCGCAGGTCCTCTCGTCGGGGGGGCCTTCCACCGGTATGTCTTCGGCACGGCTGGACATGATCACCTGGTTAACGGGCCTGATCTTTCCTGCCTTTCCCTGTCCTGACTCTGTCGTCAAGACCCATTCCGGCTTGCCTGGCGAGATCTCTTGCTTGCAAACCATCCAGTCAGTGACCTTGTTGGTCGGAAGCTCCAAGCGCTTGCCGACAGCCGGCACCACAAGCATCTGAACGCCGTCCTCGAGGACGCAGATATGGGGGTCGTCCTCTAGATCGGAACCAAGATCTGGACTTGGAGAATTCTCATCGAACAGGGAGTCTGCGGCGTCGTTCGCCCCTTCGTCGGTGTTCGTCCTTGCCTGCGCGACACAGGTTTAATATTTAACGTCGAGGCAGGTTCCCACGAAAAAAACACGCAAGGGCATGACGCAGTTTGGCCTTCTTCGCATCCGCCTTGGGCTTGGCACCCGCGAAACGCTTGCCGCCCTGCATGCCAGGCAAGGGTTTGGGCACCGCAGAGACGTTCCTTAGCTTGGGACGTGGAAGCGGCTTCGCATCCTCAGGCTCCTTCTTCGGGCCCTCCGTGGACCTTGATTTCATTGTTGGCTTGATGTTTCGCGGCCCAGTCCTTTCCTGGAGGGCATCCAACTTCCGCTGGATCTCCTGAAACAACGAGGGTGATTTGCATTATTGTTGCTCCCTTCCCCCTACCTAGAACCACGAGCTCATGAAAGTTCTGTCCAGAGACTTGCCACACTCATTCATGACCTGCCAGCAAGTGTTGTCGTCGAGATGGGGGCCCGTGATGACATCGCCTTCAAACGAGTTTGTGCGGATGCTTGACCCCTCCATGTAGTCCAGGTCCACAGACACCTTTGTGAGGACATGGGTGAGGGTGCTCACGTCGTCCTTCGGGAAGTGCTGGAGCTTGTACCCGACTAACTCTGGATCTAGGTCGTCTTCGTCCGACTCAGGCGTGCGACGTTCCTTCCATCCTGCCCAGTCAGGCGGCGGCAGAGAATCATTGAGCACATAGTCCGGGAGGTCCGCGGGGCGGCCGTCCTCCTGTTTCCTTGGAAGGTGCCAGGCAAAGCCGCCAAGCTCATCGTCATCCAAATCCAACTCCTCCTGGTGCCGCACTTGCCATTTGATGTACGCATGGCATTGCACTGGCGTCCAGCCTGTCCACTGCACCGGACAACCGCGCTTGACGTACTGTCCCTTGCACGCCTTCTTCACCTCCTCCGGTATGTCCCTCAGCTGCAGGCCGTGCCCAAGAATGCTGAACACCCCCCAACCCTGGCCTTAAAGCATGTCGCTATGCGCAGGCAAGCGTCGAAACTTTGACGGTGCCCGGCCCCCAGCCCGTGGCGAACAACAGAAGCCCATAAAGAGGCGTTCGAGTCAATGTGTTGATGATGCCCCTGTGCATGAAGTCCTCGTCGGCATAGCTCAGCCAGTCCACCAAGTGACAGTCCTGAGAACAAGCGCTAATCAAGCTAAAGCAGACAGAGCAACAGAGCACCCAGCATGCAGCAGAAAAGAAGCAAGGCCCCATTAATAACAGACAAAGCTCCACGAAATCATTCACGACTTTCTGCGCAGTGTACTTGACCACACTGACGCGACGGCCGGCGCCGCTGCCCTCCGGCTTGTCCTTGTCAGCCGCTTTGTCACCAGAGTTACGCCTAGCTTTGGTAGGCGGCGGTGCCTTGGTCGTCGCTCCCCTGTTGGGCGGCGGAGCAACACCCACTTGATATCCGCCAGGAAACCTCAGTGGTCGGCGTTTTGCACTACTTTCACTCTGTCTTTGGCTGGGACTGCCTCAAGAAAATACTTAATGGAAGACTAGCGACACAAAGGAGTCGTCCTGCTCCTCACTCTCTGCCAAGATACGCTTCTTCGGTTTCATAGCCACGGCTTTTGAGGGCGCAGGACGAGCGCGCTTCTTGGAGAACCTGTCGTCCTCCTCCTCAATCTCCTCTGTCTCACGAAAACGTTCACTGGCTCGCTGCTTGCGCATGGCGGTTGGGTGGAGCTTACAGCAAACACAATACCAGGCTTGAGACACTGACAATCGAATGACTGAAATGCATGCCAGAGTCATGACAATCGAATGACTGAAATGCCAGAGTCTGAAAACCTCGCAAACCTGCTGCGCTAGGAGAGACGGAGATGATTGTCTGCGCTTTGTTTCAGAATCAGAAGGCGCGGTCAGTTGCCGTGGGCGGCATGCAGTGAAATTTGAACGCAATGTGCTGACTGTACTGTATGGCGCAATCATTCTGTCAAAACTCTAGCAGCTAGTCAGTCATTATAATCACAAAGCACTTCTGAACTTAACTTATGCGCCTGAAGACAGCACAAAGACTACCGTGGCTGGCACGCGGCCAACGCGATGATCAGGACGGTGCTGACTGTCCCGAAATGCATGGCGTTGCCAGCCAGGTGAGCTGATTTCTTGATATCCTTGATGGGAACTACAGGACATCCCATGGCAGCTGCAGTGTCTGCATTTGCAGGGAATCCCATGGACAGTAAAACCTCACGGGATGTCAACCATCGCCTGCGCTGGAAATGCCACAACCTTGTGGAGGCAAGACGCCTCGTGGGAAGCTTCTTGCTCGCGGCCGACCAAATGAGGTACTTGCGTGGGTTGTCACCGAGATGAAGGACAAGGTTCTTGTTTGAGGACGCCTTGGAGTGGTATTTGCGCTCGTAGAGCGACTGTGCGTAGGCTATTGCGTCCTTCTCCCGATTGGTAAGCAACGACAGAAGCCAGGATCTCTTTCCAAACGCCTGGGGAACATCGTTGCAAGGGGGCAGAGTGGAGTTTTTTTTCTTTAACTACCAGTGTTTCCTAGCGCATGACATGTGCAGCAGAGTCACACCCTTAGCTGTGGTAGGCCACCGCAGTCGTCGAGACCTGGCCAATTCCGCGGCTTCCAGGCTGACCTCCCAGTTTGAGGAGACAAGGTAGTCTGAGACCTCAGTGCGCACGTGCTTTTTGATCACTGCCGTCACGCAGTCATACAGGTATTGCACGTCGCAGGTCATGACTGCATTCGTCTTGTGCACCAGAACAAAATACACGCGATTGCGTGCTGCCCCAGAATGACCAGAGTCTTCGGGTTTGCAATACAAAGGGTAGATGTCATAGTGGTTGCCATAGAGCTTCTGCATCGTACGAAGGCATACCTCCTGCACGCTACTGAGTCACAGGGGCTGCAGTGTCTACCTAACCGTGAACAATCATTATGGGGCTGTTGGGAAAGGGGTTTTGTCGACCATGTCCCAAACATTCTCCAAGATGAGCAGCGGTGTGCCAAGCTCGACGTGCCGCTTTGCGTGGGAGATGAAAACCTTGTTCGTCACCCCCTCGTGGCGCTGACGCCTGCCCGCTTTGCTGTAGTCAGTGCACGGCAGGCCCGCGACTTCGACATCTGCCGCCGCAGCAGACCGTCCAGGCCAGAGACCACAGTAAGTGTTGTGGGTGTGGCAGAAAGCGTGTGATGCCAACGCTGCCCCGTCAGCGTGGAGCAACTTCTGGATGAAGCTTCCCTCATCTAGAAATCCTTTGTCAAAGAACACATCACAGATATCCCCAAACACATGGGGTGGCTCCCTGCGGATGGATGGGTCCAGTGAGTTGCACCACACTTCATGGTCCCGAATCGAATCCCGGCAGGATCGCTTCATTTCCTGGACAAATCTAGAAACCCAAAGACGAGGTAGGGGATGGGGGGGATGGGGAAGTAACATCCTGAACACATTCAAATCAGCAATTGCGGCAGAGAAACGAAACACGACGTAGGGCAGAAATTCATCGGCCAAGGGAGCTTGCCGCTGTCGTTGACAGTTTTCTGGACAACGGACAGGGCCATTTCCGCTGTGTAAACCCCTGTGCAGGATGAAGAAACGCTGCGCCCCCTGCACAAGAAGCTCGCCTGCAGGGCCGGGCAGATGGTAGCAGCAGACAGTGACATGAGGCAGGTTTTCAAGACACTCAATAGCTAGGCCTCCACGTCTTGGGAAGACAGATGTCGTTGCAGTTCTGACCACGCAATCTGTATGCAGCGGGCTGCCCGTTGCAAGTTGGAATTGTCGGTCAAGATCTCCTGCGCAGGAACAGATAGGTGCGGCGTGACAACCTCTCTTATGACAACCTCCGTTAATTAATTGAACGTGACGGGACAGCGCCCAAGCACTATTTAGTCGTCCTTTAGCGGTTCATTGCTGGAGGAAGACGACTGGGTGAGCACGCATGCATCACTATCTGCTTCGCTGAGCAGGGTAAAAGATGCCCCGCTACCCTGATCCATGGCTGCCAAAAGGGCGCCCTGACCCTAAATGCGAACTGCGGAACGCGCGGAGATCAGAGCAAGAAAAAACCAATGTCATCAGTGAATCGGAACAGCAGGCATCACTATCACTGTCTGAGTCGCGGGCCAGCGGAGGACAGTAAGCTCCACGTCGGTGTTGAGGGGACCACAAAAAAACCAGTTCGGTCGGCCGCTTTGCAATGGACGAACCATCCATGTACAACTCAGCAGACAGGGTGAGGGAAAAGAGTTCACCGTTACAGGTTCTTGCGTCTCAGGGCTCAGGATCTGGCGTGTAGCACCCGAGCAGTAGACAGCATCTCGCGAGCTTTGGCCCAAGATACGAACTTAGCTGCGTTGAGAAATTTCAAAACACAAAACATTTGACTCTGTGTGTTGCTGAGGCTCAGGCGCACGAGGCCCACGCCAAATCTGACACTTTCACAGCCTTCTTGATTTTCACACCAGCTGATGCCAGGGTGCGATCGATCAACGTACGCAAATTCCACACCTGCACGGGACACAAAGAATGCTCAGCACTATCTTTCGAACAAATAAACCCTAAACCCTAAACCCTAACCCCTAGGCCCCAAGCCCTAAGCCCTAAACCCGAAGCCCAAAGCCCTACTAAAGCCCCAAAGCCCTAAACCCTAAACCCTCGTTGCTGGCCTCTTTGTCGACGGGTTCACCGTCAGCATCATTGACCGGGAGGGCCAACAAGGCGTCGGACACGGTTCTCTTCAACTCCCATGCAACGGAGTCCTGCATTCTTCTGACGTTTGTCAGCGGTCCCCAGTTCTGGGGCATTTCATCCAGCGAGCTTGTCACTTGCATCAAAAGAATTTCCAGGTGATAGGCCACTTCGGTCATCACGCCGTACATGCCGCTGTTCAGCTCTTCACGCAGCTGCAGGGGGTGTTGAGCGTCCCAAACGAAAGCCAGATACTCATGCAGGAGGACCGGGCCACGGCCCGTTCTATGGCAAACCCACGGCTTCGTCAAGTTTGTGAAATCCGCAGCCCACAAAGAACCAACATTGTCCCTGAGCAGGGCAGGCAGGGCAACACCCTGACTGTCAGCTTACCCTGGAAACCCTTCAAATCCCTAGCCTGCCTGTAGAAATCCGTTGTCCACAACGAGCTGCCTGAAAATAGGTACTGGCCATTGCTGTCCACGCTGCAGGTGACAAGCGTCCATTCGTCATCACCATGTCGTTGAAACCAGAACTCAAACTCTGGACGCACCTCGGCCAGCTTGCGCAACAAATCCTTGAAGCATTGCACGGCGTAGGCCCTGTCTGCTGGTGATCTGCGGCTGCTAGAAGCAGCAAACAGCATATAAGAGATCACCATGCTGGTGGTGAGGGTGCATTCAACAAAGAATGTTGAGACGCGCTGGCTATTTCTCCAAACTTTTTGTGATTTTTTCTTGCGTCGTTTGCTTGAGGCTTCTTGGACGACCTCGCCCGGCCAGAGCCGCATGTGCATCTCCTGCACCGAGGGCCTGGTCTCAACACACCGTTCTCTGGCTTTGTCGGGGTTTTTCGTTCGCAGGATCCACAAGGCTACAGTGTACTCTTGCCAAAAGCTCTGCGAGCTCGGATCCTGGCTCACATGCACGATGATCTCCGCCCCACTTACTTTGAACAATCTGGTGTGCAATTTGCTTGGGTCCAGCGATGCCACTTCGTGTTCACTTGCATCACTCCCATCATCCAAAGGCACCACAGCTGCCATCAGGATTCGAGATTTGCTGGTGAGCTAGCACAAGATACACGTATTGAGGTGCTGGTCCTGTTTTTCAACAAAGTATGGCTTACAGTAAATAGAGCTTATTTCGGGTCCACGGACTCAACAACTACGACGCTTATTTTGGTGTGTTTGGACTGCATGTCACGTGTCCCTGAGTGCTGCTTTGAGCACCCATCTCGTGGCCCCGAATTCGCGGAGCCAGGCAGCTTCAGCCCCTGTTTCTCAAAATAAGCCTTATTTAGGGCTTATTTGGGGCTGGCTAAAGAACCCCAAGAATAAGCACTATTTAGTATCTATTTTCGGTGCACCAAAATAGATCTTAAATAAGGCTTATTTCTGGCTTCTTTTTTGTCTTGCACCTGCAGACGCTCCTATTTGGCGGGGGGGGGGGAGTAGGGGGGGGGGGTGTAAGATCCTATGATGAGTTTGGCTGAGTGCTGTCAAACCTTATCTGCTTGAGCATTCTTAGAGTCTGTGTTTGCTTATGCTGTCTCGGTTAACATCAGGACACATGTCATGCTATTGGATCGTGGCGTCAGCTATGTTGTCGGCCCTGAGCTCAGAGTGCTTGATACATTCGGGTGCAGATCTCGCCTCGGGCTTAGCTGCCTGTTGCCGAGGATTGTTGTTGGGTGCTTTGTTTGTTGTTTGGAGGAGGAGTGCACTTGTTTTGCGACCTCACGAGTGACAGACTCATGTGCATTGTGATGCAGTGCAGTTTTGGAGAATCGTTTTGAGGCTTGCTCTTTTGTGTAAGTTTGATCACACGACCTAGGTCGTGTCTTGATTCTGAGCCGAAAGCTCGAGCCAGAAGTGCTCTCATGAAAAGCGTAGAGCCCACGAGGGCTGGCCGAGAAGAGCCTCGCAAACACTTGATGTGTATCAACAAGGAAAGGAAGGATCGGCGCCGCAGAGTATCGGTGGTATGCACAGATGTGGTCCTTGCAGCAAGTGCTCGTGAAATATTTGTGTTTCGTTGGCCCAAAACCTTAGTTTGGGGCGTGACTCGCCGGGGCATTTTGTGCAGGAGCACGGAAACCTGTGACACGAAGGCAGGTGCCTGGTGGGCCAGATGTACCCATGGCCATTGATGCCACCTTTTGGGACAGAGTCCCGGAGCAGTCGCCGTAGGCGGCGCAGCAGCTCAGACTCGCGCTCAAGAGAGCGAACGAGAGATCGTTCAAGGGGTCGGCGTAGGTCCAGGAGGACGGAACGCAGCCGTGGGAGCACCCCACCCCGTCGCGAGACGGCACCACCACCCATGCCACCACCACCTGCGTTACCCATGGCCAGCCCAGGGCACGTGTGGCAACAGGTGCCGGTGATGCAGCCACCGGCCTCCCAAGCTTTGCTTGGCGTGGGGCGAGAGGCAGCCTTTAGCTGGAAGGATAGCTGGAAGTCTCAGTGGCAGCAACCCCAACGAAAGCCATGGAATAAGTGGCAGAACGAGGCTTGGAAGAAGAACAAGCCAGAGGAAGATCGTGGCAGGCCTGCTGCGAGTTACAATGTTAAGGAAGCCACACCCGAGGAGATTCGGGCAGCTGCGGCCCGGAAATCAGCTGCTGAGAAGGCTGAAACGGATGAGATTACCCTGGAGGATGAAGACGCTGATGACGGGGAATATCTCAAAGCCCTGTGGGAGTCGGCTAACACGGCTGCATGGGCGGCCACGGATCGGCCTCTCAGTGCACGTGAGTTGGTTGAGAAGGGGCAGCTTGAGCCCTGGTGGAAGTACCCTTGGTACAAGATTGCGGCCAAATTTTCCGAGGCTTCGGAGTGTAAGTCCCTCATGGCACACCTCTCGGTGCCAGATGCAGTGGCTGGAAGAATGGCCACGATTATGGCGGCTTTCCGGCATTACGGCCGCCCGCTGGAGGGCGATGGTGATTTGGCCCAGAAGGTTGGACCGGAGATGCTCACTTTTGATGTCCCGGGCCAAAACGTTTTGTTCGTGGGCTGCAACATCAAGGGACCGAGCTTTGTCCATGATGCCAACTATGCCAGCCAGGCCACGATGTGTCATGGCACTAGTTTTGCTTCGGTGATTGGCGTTGCCCAATGCGGAGAAATCACTGTGGGGGACAACCGGGAAGATGGCTTCCCGGCTTATGGCTTTAGTGCTCGTGGTGCCCTGGTGGGGTACTCGAAGGATGCCATGGTGGCGGCTGTGAAGAAGACAGCGAGCCGAGCAAAGTCCCTCGGAGGGGCTATGCTGGTGGTGGAAGCTGAGCTTCCTGGGCCCACCCCTCAGGTGGAAGGTGGACACGACTACCTCCATTCGGCATGCCGAGATGCGGGCTCAGTGCGCTCTGGGGAGCATTTTCTGCTCTCAAGCATGTTGTGCTTCGTGGCATAGCAGTGGGGTGGCCTCGCTGAAAGGGTGAGCCGGACCCTTAGTATGAACAGCACGGGCTGCAGCGATCGGGCAGATCGGAAACAATGAGTTTGCACATGTGAATGTGGTCTTTTCTGTACATGCATCAAGTTCTCCAGCAGGGACAAATTTGTTGCTTTTGTGATGCGTCGGCTCAATTGTTCATCTAGTATCTGGGGAGTGTATGATTGGCTTTTTCGTCATGTCCGGTCGAGACCCCAGCTCCAGCGAGACTGAACTCTGCTTTCGTAACCACGTCCATGCACGCTCGCCTTTGCCCAGCCAGCCTTGGGAACAGCCGAGTATGTTGTGCATTTTTGATCCGACGAAGGCGATGTTCCCTCAAAGGTTGGGCGTGCCTTATCAGGGTGGGAGACCACTACCGATGGCCGCCTCAACCGCTGACACGCAGTTTTCGACGAGTGTATCAGATAAGGCGGCGTCGCACTGCCAGGCCTGGACTCGTGCAGTTAAGGCCCGTCGGGGGGCGAGCTCAAGGGACCGTCAGCACGAAGCTTATCAGAAGGTTTTGCTCTTGCTCCAATCCTTTGCTAGTTTCTTTGACTTGTGCACTCTAATGGAGGATGACACAGAGACTGGTCAGGACTCATTGCAGGCGATTCTGGCTGGCAAATCCCCAGCCACAGTTTTGAAGCATGTGGGGCCAATTCGCACATTTTGTGAATGGCTGGTGAAGTCAGGGAACCTTCCTCCTTTTCCTGAAAAGGTCGTTTGGTCTTTTGTCAACTGCGTCTTGAAGCTGCCCCGAACGGCTGCATCCACTTTGGATACGTGTCTAAAGGCCATCAAGTGGAGTTATCATGCCCTGGGATTGCGGGTACGTCTTGAAGTTTTTCAGAGTGCACGTGTCAACGGACTGGTGGCTAAAGCTCTGGCCAACAAGAGTCCATGGGACCCGGCTCCCCCTCTGCAAGTACACGAGGTGTTGCAGCTTCATGCAATGGCTCAAAATAAGGCCATCTCTCTTATTGACAGATGTGGTGCAGTTCATTTTCTGGCCATGCTCTATGGCAGGGCTAGGGCTTCTGATGTTCGTTGTATTCAACCTTTGATTATTGACAAGAGTGGCGCGGATTGGAGTCACGGTTTCATTGAACTAGGTACCCTCTACCATAAAACTTCACGGCTTGATGCTCAGCAACGCCGAATCCTTCCCTTGGTGATTCCGGGAATTGGTATTGCTAAAGTCCCGTTGGGACAAGTGCTGCTGGAGTTAAGAGATGAAGCTGGGTTGCCGAATGATGGGATTGATGTCCCCTTCCTGCCGGCCCCTCAGCCCGATGGTAGCTGGTCTTCGGACCCCCTGTCATCTAGTGAAGTGACCCGCTGGCTGCGTTTCCTACTTCCTCGTCCTGATTCAGAAAAGCCATTGTCTAGTCATTCTCTCAAGGCGACCACCCTGGTGTGGTGCTCCAAATTCGGCATGCTGAGGGAGACTAAGCGTGTTCTTGGTCATCACGCTGACGCTGCTACAGGATCAGACGCGGTGTACGGTCGGGAGCTGCAGAGTGCTGCGTTGCGTGAGTACATCATCATCCTGGAAGCAGTTGCGTCAGGAAAATTTTTTCCTGACCAAACTAGGAGCGGCCACTTTGCTCAAGGCTGGAACCGTCAAAAGATCATGGAATCTGCTGCGGTTGCACCTGCAGATGATGAAACCACTCCGGGGGACACGACCGACGATCAGGACGCTGCCTTGGCTGTTGTTTCAGATGCTTCTGATTCAGAGGAGGATAATTCGGAGAGTCCCTTGTACTGGGCTCACCCTACGAGTCAAGTCTTGCACAGAACCACACTTGGGTCTGCTTTGTTTTTGTGCGGTAGAGCTTTTGGAGATCATTACCACCGCGTTCCTATGGTCCTATGGTTAGGGCACATGCCTATCCTCAGTGTACTAAATGTTTCTCTTAGTGCCAGTTTCCCCTGATGGGGAAATGGTGAGCACGAGCTCCGTTGGAAAAGATCAGGGTGAGTTTGCTGTCATGCCATCGCGTAGACTCAGGTGTGAGGTCTCCGCTTGCGAGTGTTTGTTTGGCTCGTCTAGCTTGTAGCAGCCATGACAAGTTCCGTGGATTCGGCCCCTTACTTCCTCCAGCGAGCAGAGGAGATTTTGCTGACCAAGCGGGTCGTTGATGCACTGACTGCTAAAGGGGTCAAAACCTTGGCTCAGTTGGCCTTTTGCGTGGGCCAGCCGGGGCAACTCCTGGCTCAATCGGATTTCGATACATGGAGCACAGCAGTATTGGCAGACCTTACGGTGGGCGAGAAGGCATCACTGAGACGGTTGATTCTTGAGGCCCAGACGATGTTGGTGGCCTCCCTTAAGGACATGGCAGAACCATCCGAGGGTGTTGCACCTAAGAAGGTGGGACTTGCTGAGCGTAATGCACGCATGGACCAGTTGCGCACTCAGCTTTCGGGGATTTCCCTGACTGGCCAGTTAGAGCCTAGTCATGCCTTGTTGGACATGACCGTTCAGCAGTGGGAAAACCGATGCCTTAAGTACATTGGCCCGGAAAAATGCCACAGCCGCGAGGAGGAAGTTCAGAACTTGAAGCCGTTGACCACCAGCCTCTCCCTCGAAGGGGAA